CAACTGCCATTTTCTCCTTTTCTTCATATGTTTTTGGACACGACTCTTTGCTCAACTTGATATGATTGGCTAAAGGTGAGCTTACCGGTTTGGCTGCTTTCATGTTGAACCTTTCAAGCACCCGTTCAACATACTTTTCTTGTGACAGCCACAACTTCTTGGATTTTCTGTCACGAATTATCTCCATGCCCAAAATCTTGGCTTGGCCCCTAAGTCCTTCATGTCAAAGGACTTAGATAACTCTTCTTTGAGCTTTTTAATCATAGAAAGCATCTTGTCCGACAATCAACATGTCATCACACATAAAGCAATAAGCATGATGAATGTACCTCCAGAAAATTGTTTTTGATATAGACACAAGAGTCAGCATGAGTTCTCTTGACCCATTACTCACCATGAATGAGTTGAACTTCTTATTCCACTGTCTCGGAGCCTGCTTAAGACCATATATTAAACTTCTTGAAGCTTGCACACCAAATTTCTTTACCTTTGACTTCAAAGCCTTTGGAATTGCTCCATGTATATCTCCTCTTCTAAATTGCCGTGGAGAAATGCAGTTTTAACATCTAACTGCTCGAGCTCAAGATCCATGCTTGCTGCCATACCAAGGATAACTCGAATGGAAGTCATCTTCACCACCGGTGAGAAAATCTCATCGAAGTCAACTCCTTTCTTTTGACCAAAACCTTTGACAACCAAACGAGCCTTGTACCTTGTCATGTTGTCGTCTCTTTTCAATTTGAACACCCACTTGTTTTTCAATGCTTTTCCTGCCCTTTGGAAGCTCCACCAGCTCATAGGTATCATTCTTTGATAAGGAATCCATCTCCGACTCCATTGCCTTCATCCATTTGTCACTGTCGTTATGAGCTCTGGCCTCCTCATATGTTTCAGGCTCTCCATAATTAGTCAAACATGATATACTCTGATGAAGAATACTTGGTAGATGGTCTTCGACTTCTGATGGATCTTCTGACCTGATCTTCATTCTCTTGTAGGGCTGGAGGCTCCCCCTGATTGGGTTCTCCTTGAATCTGCTCTTCTTGACTAGGCTCCACCTGATCAGCAATCTCATGGTCTGGCACATCTTGATCAGGCTCCCCCTGATCAGCATTATCTGGTTCTGCAGGCACTTCATTGGCAGCTGCTTCAGGGATGTCATTGTGACTTTCTTCATCTGAAGCTAATGGATCAACTCCTCTGTCTGCGCCATCTGGTTGTGCTTCTTTATCCGAATCCCCAATTGTTTGATCTTCATAAAAGACCACGTCTCTACTTCGAATAAAACTTCTTCTAGTATGGTCCCATAATCTGTAACCAAAATCTTCATCGCCATAACCAAGAAAGATGCACGGTGTAGCTTTGTAGTCTAACTTCGATCTCTGCTCTTTGGGCACATGCACAAAAGCTTTACAGCCAAACACTTTCAGATGAGAGTAAGACACATCATTACCAGCCCATACTCTCTCTGGAACATCAAGACCTAATGGTACTGATGGAGATCGGTTGATCAAATAGCAGGCTGTCCTTACAGCTTCACCCCAGAACTGCTTAGATAACTTTGCAGTCCTCAGCATACACCTGACTTTCTCCATGATGGTTCGGTTCATTCTTTCAGCAACACCATTATGTTGTGGAGTTCCAGGAACTGTCTTCTCATGACGTATGCCATGTTTCACACAATACTCTCTAAACTGGTGAGATGTGTACTCGCCGCCGTTGTCGCTACGAAGGCACTTAAGAGGTTTCCCAATTTCCCTCTCCACCATGGCATGGAACTCCTGGAATGTCTGAAACACCTGGTCTTTGGATTTCAACAAATACACCCAAACCTTTCGTGAAGCATCATCAATATAAGTAACAAAATATTTATTTCTTCCGAGTGACTCGACTTCCATGGGACCACACACATCTGAATAAACAAGATCTAACAAGTTTTCCTTTCTTTGTAGATGGAACAGAAAAAAACTAACTCTTCTTTGTTTTCCGAATAAACAATGCTCACAAGAGTTTAACGACGTACCTTCGGTAAAGGGAATGTGAGACTTCTTTGCCAAAACTTGTAGGCCTTTCTCGCTTATGTGGCCCAGCCTCTTATGCCATAAGTCTAGAGATGAGTCCTCCACAGCATTCAACTCACCTTTCAAAACCTGTGCATTTGACCGGTACAACGTACAACAAAAGTCGTGCTTTTGCTACCACCATTAAGCCTTTAGTAAGCTTCAATTTTCCTTCGCCAATATGGTGATAATATCCTTGTCGATCAAGGGTACCGATGGATATCAGATTGAGACGTATATCAGGAATATGTCTCACATCTTTCAACATCAATTGGCAGCCGAGATTAGTTCTTAGACATATATCACCAATTCCAAGAATTTTGGAATAGCTTTCATTCCCCATCTTCACTATGCCAAAGTCACCTTCTTTGTATGTACTGAAGAACTCCCGTTTGGACGTAGCATGGAAGGAAGCTCCATTGTCAAAGATCCATTCAATGTCTCTGTCAGAGTTGCCCATATGCAGACATTCACCAACAGACAATATTTCTGGTACATCACCACATATGACAGCAGTGGTATTGCCAGTATCATCTTTCTTCTGATTGTTTCCTTCCCTTTGCTCTCTCTTCCAAACTCGACAATTTTTCTTCATATGGCCTTCTTTGCCACAATGGTGGCATGCACCCCTGAACCTTGACTTGGATCGGCTAGGACTCCTGCCATGACCTCTAGGCCCTCTACTCTTGCTTCTTCCGCGGTTCTCTGTGACAAATACTTGGCTGCTATCTGTGCCAGAAGTCTTTCTCCTTGTTTCTTCATTGAGCATGCTATTTTAACATTATCAAGGGTAAGAACACCATTAGAAGCAGAGTTACTTATACTCACCACAAAGGTCTCCCAACTGTCTGGCAAGGATCCAAGTAACAAGAGCGCTTGTAGCTCGTCCTCGATCGTCATTTTCATAGTAGCCAACTGGTTGATGATATTCTGGAAATTGTTCAAGTGTTCTGCTACACTTAAACCATCCTTGTACTTCACATTGATGAGCTCTTTGATCAAGAAGGCTTTCTTAACTGGAGTCTTCTTCTCGAACAAGGACTCAAGCTTTGTCCAAAACTCGCGAGCATTGGTTTCATTAGACACATGGTGAAAAACACTATCGTCCACCCATTGTCTAATTGTGCCAATAGCCTTGCGATTCATCTTCTTCCACTCGGCATCGGACATGCTCTCTGGCTTAGCGGCATCTCCTTCAATTGGCTCATGCAGATCCTTGCAATAGAGAATGTCCTCCATCCTTGGCTTCCATGTTACCCAATTGGAGTTGGTGAGTTTGATCATAGTGCCACTTCCTTCCATCTCGCAGTACGAGCCAACCGGGCTCTGATACCACTTGTTAGGAATGTCGGTACTACAAGATAGAGAATGCACAAGGTAAAGTAGAAAATGGACGCCAAGAATTTATGTGGTTCGGCAATTTATGCCTACGTCCACCAAACAAGGAATCTTCATTATATGAAAAAGATGAATACAACAAGAGTAGTCTTACCAAGCCAAAGACAAGGCTTGATGGATACAAGAAAGTATAACACACACTTTCTATCACTCTAAACTTCACTCACACAATGTGTAGTGGAACACTCTCACTCTCACTCTTGGAGTGGAACTCTAGCTTTGGACTTGATCCTTTGCTACTCACTCTTAGTTCTCTATTGGTTACATCACACCCATATTTATAGGTGAGGGCTTGGCATTCTACTAGTTTCTAGTTCCTTCTTCAAACCTCTAGTATAGAAAAATCTAGACTAGCCACATACTTGTAGCTTCTAGATCTTTCCATTTGCAACCAAGGAAGCTAGTACTCTCTAGCTTCTTCCATCAACTTAATAACATGCTAGAATTGTCTAGCAAGCTCCAGCCTCATCTCTTGCTTACTAGAATAATCTAGAACATTGATCATGGGCTGGACCATATACCAACAGTACCTTCCAATGGTGGTCCTGAAGGTAATGGTTTTTATTCTTCTGGGAGAGTTCAATGCCAAATTTTTCATCGTCATGGCCACACTGCCATTGACTGTTTTAATCGTCAGAATATGGCCTATGAGGGACGTGTTCCTGGCTCTCGTCTTCAAGCTTTTGCTGCAGCCGCTCCACCCTCAGGCACTGGCAGTGCCCCTGCTGTTCAGAACTGGCTATTTGATTTTGGCGCCAACGCCCACATCACCAACGACTTAGCTCAAGTCCCTAGTGCTCGTGACTATCATGGAACTGATCATGCGAACAGAGTAGCTTGTGGCACAGGTTTGCATATTTCAAAAGTTGGACATTTCTATATTCGAACACCTCATCAATCCTTTAAATTATCAAACACCCTATATTGCCCTAATGCCACAACTAATGTCATATCTATCAATCGTTTTACCACAAGTAACAAGTGTTCTCTAACCTTGTCTCCTACCTCTTACCATGTTCAGGACATGCGAACGGGGAAGATTCTTTTGCACGGCCCGAGTAGGAATGGATTCTATCCTTTTTCCAGTCTTTCCATCTCAAACAATAATGGCGTTTTTGCATGCATCGGTGCTGATGTGTCGGATAGTATTTTGCATTCACGTTTAGGACATCCATCAAATTCCATTTTTAAATTTCTTGTAGCTAGGAATAAATGTCTCATTTCTGGTAAAGTCACCAGTGAAGTGTGTCACTCGTGTCCACTGGGCCAGAGTCATAAGTTACCATTTTCATTATCTACTTCTTTGTCGTCATTTCCTTTAGAATCGATACATTCCGATGTATGGATGTCTCCGTCCCATTCTATTAATGGATTCAAATATTATATTATTTTTATCAATGATTTCTCTCATTATTCATGGATTTACCCTTTAAAATTAAAATCCGAAGTCTTTGCAACGTTTTTTACTCATTAGTGGAAAACATGATCTACTTTAAACTGAAGAGCTATAGACTGCTGCACAAACTAAAGGCAAACGGCTCGTATATCATGTTTGAATAGTTTATAAGTAACATAAAGTGGAAAATTTTGTATAGAATCTGATCATATGTAAACCCTAGAAAGTTTTGCAGAAACTACTTACAAAGAACCGGAATACACTTGCACCACACCACAGAAACAGAACAAACAAGTGACCTAATGTAAGAATAAGCAGCTACAATTATAGGTTTCATAAGTTGTATATTGTTTCTCGATTGATGGATTCAATGCTCCAATTGGGTTCTGCGCTGCTGGGTTCCGCGGTGGAGATCCGTAAGTTCTTCTTGTGGAAGTCGTATAGAGTTTGCCGATGGCCAACGCTTATATATGTTATGCCTGCCTTTTCAATCTGCTGATATAAATGAACCTGCCAACAGAAGCACAACCGGGAGATCATCATTACAACTTTTATCATGTTATCTTCATAGTGATTCAACAACTATGCTTCTAGGCCTCATGGGAAAAAATTGAAGTAGGTGGACATCAAGTGCATATGATATTGAATGAGTGGTACAAAACCAACACTTCGAAAAAACTTGGAATACGTTCATTAGCTTATGCGTATCAACGGTTTATAGACTAGATTATTCGCTTCAGGTGTTCGTGTGCATAGCGCGAAATTTGACTAATAAATGCGTTAGGGACAATTCCTGAAGATACTCTGGACTGAAAAGTCCAATACACGTGGGAAGGACTAGGAAGAACAAATGAATCTTGAAAGTCTTAGGAAAGAGCGTGGTAATACCTCATTGGCTTCATCTAAAGCACCGGTAGATTCATCCAGTAGAACCAATTGTGGTTTCGAGAGCAGTAAACGTGCAAAAGCAATGCGTTGTTGCTCTCCAAGGGAGAGAACACTAGACCATTCATATGAAGTATCCAAACTGCTGAATCGGGATAATAAATAGCCAAGTCGGACATCCTCCAAAGCCTGTATCAAGTCCTCCGTTGTGGGCTTAATAGGCTTTTCACTCGCATGTTCTGATTTTGGTGCCTGCTTCAAGAAAGGAAGTGACCCTGCAAGAATTACATAACAATTGTCACAGCTGATTATAGCTTCCTCAGCAGTCAGCACACATGCCATGTGGCAAAAGGAGTTGAAGTACGTACCAGTTGGTTTAGTACCGTCGGCTGTGGAAATCGCATCCTCAGCCCATGTAGGATAAAGCAACTGTTGGCGAAGTGTTCCCAATACCATATATGGTTTTTGAGGAAGGAAAAATATGCCTTCATAATTCCTATTTGACGGCCTTCCAAGTTCCCCATATTTATCACTGCCAGTATGTACCTCAAGAGCTACTACACCAGAAGAAATGGACGGTTGATTATCTTCAACGTCCTTCACATGGAATATGATTTTTCCTTTTCCAGTACTCCAAAGACCACACATAGCTCTTAACAAAGATGTTTTACCGCTTCCACTTGGTCCTGTTACCTGTTCAAATATCATGTACGGGAAAAGTTCTTCAGCTCCTAGTCGAGATATATTTAGTAAACTAATGATAACTTCAATAGAACAATGGAGTTACTAACCAATAAATGCTCATTCTTGTTGATTACCAACGATAAATTCCTAACCAATGCAGTACCACTTGGAGTCTCCACAGTCAAGTGCTCTATATCCACTAACTTTTGTTGCTTTTCCATGAGAACGGATCCATTTGACTCCAGTTCCGGTAAACTTTTGACATTATTACTATATATCAAACTTATCCCTTCTAAGGGGTCAAAATGGCGTTCCGAGTTGCTGCTATCCAACAGATCGTCAAATTCACCTATATGTTTCAGATGTCACTAGGCAAATAAGTATTTGAAGTTAAAACACATATACGCCATTAAAGATCTTGCTTGGAGCCAGAAGAGAAAGCATTGTCATATTAGACATCATAAGTAAATTTATTAACAGAGTCAGACAGCAGAATGACTAGCTAGGTATATATTATTATGAATCTGCAAACGATCCAATAAATCTCATTAACTTGAAGAGTTAACCATAGAACTTCCAGTATAAAGCTTTGTTTTAAGAAAAGTGGTAAGTTCAACATAAAAGCTATAGTAAAGAGTAGAAAAGCTGATAAGTTGAAATTTTGGTCACATTCTAGTAGTTTTGCATCCCTAGTCATAACAAATATTATTGAAGATGGCTTCAAATGACCTCAACAAGTACAAAAAGTTATATGATGCAGGCAACTAATGTCTGTAACTATCTGACTGAATCTAGGAATGTAATAACCGTGAATAGAAATTAAAATCGATAAGAAAACGTGTCATTATTTTTTCAATGTCTTTCTAGTGAATCTCTAATCCATTTTCATTCAATTTTAAGACCCCGTTATATCATGCAAATTAGACAGCTTCCAGAACAGATCCTTGTTATAGCAGATATATAGATAAAGAACAGAGACAATACCAAGTCGATCAATTACAGCTGCAAATGCACTGATAGCCTCAATTTCGTAGACAATAAGGGAGAAGTCTCCAAGAATATGATTGAAAGCAGATGCTGACTGATTAATGACACCAAACCCAATTTTGCCTGAGAAATACATAGGGGCAACAACAGCAGCGGGAAGAATCTGAATAAGATAGCTGTATCCACGGGTGAAAAAGTCGAGATTTCTTGAACATATCAACAATTTCTGCAAGGTTGGAATATGAGTTAAAACACAATCAGTTGGACGTGCATGGCATAAGATTCTACATGCATGGTAATTTTAAACCAGTAAAAATATTAAATGCAAAGAGAACATCATGCTCTAGATCAAACCTCGTGGGCATCTGTGTACCAAAAGTAACTTTAAAAAAACAGCAAGTCTTAAGCATAACTGTATAGTCCTTGGGCATAATGATGCAGCTCAGTTTCTTGAATGAGCCACAGACAGCATAGTGACATCAACAGAGATCAAAACCTAAGCACTGAAGTCGAAATATCCGAAACAACATGATCAATTTAGAAAACTGGAACATGATGCTTATCAGATTAGATACATGTATATGACGTACTGAAGGAATCACTCGCATGCTTACAAATTAAATTATAGACGCTAAGTAACACATGTTTGGCGTCATCACCTTTCATGCCTCTTGAATGAGGGTCATGAGAGCCCATATATGCTGATACACTGATAATAAACCTATGTTGTGAACCCACTTCTCCATTGAGAAGAAAAATTACATTTAAGAGTTTTTAAGTGGATGTTGAAGTTACTTATAGTGGTTATCAGTAGCATCACTAATCCAATGACACCAGCACATCCACCATAACTAAATCCAAGTGTATTTAAAGTAAATCAAGTTGAAAGTAAAGGAGGAACAAACGAAATATGAACATTATTTTATTGACGGAAAAATGAACTAAACGAAATTGTCAAAACGGCTACAAACTCATGACTACATCTTGACTAACTTTTTTCTCAAACTAAATTATAAGCTATATTTGTAGTGATATAAACCTAAGAAATCCTAATGCGTAAATGCCAAAAATATCCTACTACAAAATCAAATCAAATCTCTTATTAATTTCCTAAATAAACCTAATAAATTCCAACACCCTGTCAAACTCATGACGGTACACGTCATGAGGTTGCCAACAAGCAGATGTGGATGTAAGCTCCGTTAGGCGGACACGATAAGGCAAACTCTGTTAGGCGAACACGACAAGACAAGCTCCATTAGGCAGACACGACAAGACAAGCTCTGTTAAGCAGACATGACAAGATAAGATCCGTTATGCGGACATAACAAGTGAGCGATTCAAGCGAGTAATTCAAGCGAACAACCAATTCCAACAAGCAACAATTCCAGCAACCAAACGTTGGGAGTATGAACTACATTACTAAATGGAGGAGACTCCTAAATCCTAATTGCAGCAAAGATCGAACAAAAACAAACTTTATCACTTGAGTGGTCACAAGTCCAAGCACTTGAGTAATAGGGAAGCAAACATTATTCTGAATCCAATTCAATCAATACAAGGCCAACAAGCAACTTTATTATGTCCTCCATGTGGGCCTCAAAAACAATTAGTGGCCCAAATTTTTTCTCCTTTTCCTTTCGTTTTTTTCTTTCTTTTTTATTTCTAAACAAACCAAGGCATTCCTTCTTTTCCAGTGCGACATGGATGATGATGGGTGCAGGAGCAGCTGTAGTTTCTTCAAGCAGAGGGGTTCAATACACGGAAGATGGCAGTGGGTACAGATCTGGGTGCGGATAGCAGAAGCGATGCCGAGCAGCAGCGGCGACCAAAGTACATCAGCGGTGGTTAGGTCAGATCAAAGACGAACTCGATTTTAGTTGTTCGTTCTCCGGTCTGAGCTTCGTCAAACAAGTGGTTGTCGAGCAGCAGCGGTGGTGGATGCAGAAGATGGTGAATGCAGCAGTGGGTTCGAGAAGATGGTGGCGCGGTGGTTCAAGCAGGGGAGGTGCAGATTCAGTCGGATTTGCGGCCGGTGGTTCCAGTGGGGCAGCGTGGTGGTGATCTGATGAGGAAACGATGGTGCGTGGGTTCAGACAGATGCGAGTGCAGGCTGGTCAATCTTCGGACTCTAGGCGTCGGCTCCCGTGCGACGTGGCTACGGCGCGACTCGCACATCACAATTTTATTTTATTTTTCGATTTAAAACAAAAGCCTAATGACAGCAAACAGACAATACGAACAAAACAGAAGCAGATTAAATCCAACCTACTCTCATTCCAAGTTAAAAGTAAATGATGAAGAAACGAAATATGAACATTATTTTATTAAAGGAAATATGAACTAAACAAAATTGCCAGAACGCTACAAACTTATAACTACATCTTAACTAACTTTTTCTTAAACTAAATTATAAGTAATGTGTATAGCGATATAAACCTAAGAAATCCTAATGCGTAAATGCCACAAATACTCTAATACAAAATCAAATCAAATCTCTTATTAATTTCCTAAATAAACCTAATAAATTCCAACAGAGTAGTTTAGAGTGAGTACACACAGAACAATATTGCGTAAAAATAAATTTGTGAGAGAAAAAGGAGTCTTCAGTGTAAAGGCAAGTGACTGCATGCAGAGAAGTGAAAACAGAAGAAGATAAAATTATTCATACACTCATATTTTTTAAAGCACTTGTGAAGCGTTGTAGCAAAAGTTGCATTTCATTTGCTTCACCACTATAGAAAGCAATGGATTCAGCATTTTCTCTGACGCGCACAAGTCCATAACGAAAATCCGCTTCCTTTTTCTCTTGCATGAAGTTCAAAGAAACCAAATCCTGAAAACACGCATACAACGTTTTCATTAAACCGAGTTTCAATTGCATACAACATGGGAAATACCTTTTGGTTAAACAGAGGTAAAGTTACCTTCCCAAGAAAGATACTTACGGCTGTTCCACCAATTGAATATACAAATAGAACAACAAACAGCGGAGGATAGATACTGAATAAGATGTTACTGAACGAGATGAGATCTATCACAGCATCGAAAATTGTTAAGGAAAATGATAAGGCAGTCTTTGTGAACGAATTTAGATCATCAACAATTCGTTGATCTGGATTATCAATGATTGATTGGGATTGAATTTTATAAAAGGCTTGGTTGCTTAGGTAACGGTCCATGTAATATTTTGTCATCCAAGCTCTCCACCTCAACGAAAGAGTTTGTCTCGCATAATATCGCAACACGAAAATCTGCACAAAAAGTTGTCAACACAGGAAACAAACATATCAATATCAGTAAGACCAGGTCATTGTTCCCATGTCCACATAACTGCGTAGGCAAACGAATCAACAACAATCATACGAATATGAACCCATTGGCGATGATCAAACTGCAAAGAAGTGGATACTTGTGAAAAGAATACCCGAAAAGCTAAAGTTTTTTTCCATTGAGGGTTGCAATTTACTGGCATAAACCTTTAGCTATAGTTTCACCATTCATTGTTCTTATGTGGTCTTCTTTTTTGACAAAATCTTAGCAACTGCCTTTTTGTATTTTCCTTTCTGGTGATTACACAAGGATGAAGGCGAAGGCGAAGACCCGGGGAAAAAGGAATAAAACTAAGCTGAGGGGTGGGTACCTAAGTGAAAGTGCAGCAATTGGTGCTCACCGGAATTCCGACAGCAAATGCACCCAAGTAGTAAAGCAGCTGCTTCGTGAACTGTTCTTGGTTCTTGTCTTCAAATTATCATCAAAATCCAATTTCGGAAGCAAAAAGGAACAAATTTCAGTAATATAAATTAACTTAATTGATTACCAATAAGATTAACAAATTAGAGAGAGAGAGAGAGAGAGAGAGAGAGAGAGAGAGAGAGAGAGAGAGAGAGAGAGAGAGAGAGAGAGACTGGCAAGGGCGTTATAGAAGTCGCGGCCGAGGAAACTGAAGCCGACGCTGATGCCGGTGGTGGCGAGAGTGAGAGCGAAGACTACGGCGAGCTGGATCTGTTAACCTACAGAAATGTAGTGAGAGATAGAGAAGAGACTCGAGAGATTATAGAGAGAGAAGTAGAGAATGGAAAGCTTCAGTATATTTTGTTTTCTTAACAACTACGTAAGTACACTCATCAGTATTTATATTGTTCACTACTTCTATCACCTTAACTAACTAACTAACTAACTGATACAAGTGGTAAAATCACAGCCACACAACCTATTGTTGGAAATGTTCCCTAAAGCCAACCATGTGATGATACTTTACGGACATTTCACATGTTAAACTAATCTAGTTTTACATATAAAGGGCATAAATTATTGTTTGAGCCGTCTCATATAAATGTTATATGCTTAAACGATAAAGTCCAAGGAATATGTGATTGGGAGAATGTAATCTAATGAAGTTAGATTCATGAGACCATTCTTTCGTAGACACATCCTAAACGTTCCTGATCATAGGATTGCCAATTGGGCGTTGACAGTCCGTCAAGATCAGTACGTACTATGTCTTCTCTCAGGGAGAGTGATTAGTCTCGAGTCATTGGTGTGTGTGACATCAAGATAAGTACGGTAGGTGCTCAATAGAGAATGAGTTCACTGAACGCGATCAACGAAGGGTTCTCATATTCCATGTCACATGAGAACTCATGGTTGGGATAATGCAAAGTAGTCCTTTGACCTGAGGCATCATAGTTGTCTTGTGGTTAAGACCTTGATCTTTGATTATGTCAAAGTCACTCCATCAGGAGGGTGTCCACGGCATCGTTGGGGTCAAGTGACTTAGCTATGGAGACAAGTGAATGCGCAACAAGGGATCTCTAACCTTCAAACCGTTTGAGGGAGAATACTCTATGATATGATTTAAATATCTGGATCAGAGTATGAATGAGATTAGGGAATGCGTTCCGAATCACATTCAATGGTAATCATATAAGCACAAGAACACACATTGGATAGTAGACATGAGAAAATAAACTATCAAACCAAACAATGTGGTCAAGAGTATTAGATTAGAGAAAGACCGTATTGCATTTGTAATCCCGAACTGAATAGGTTCTCTAACCTCTTCTGATTAGCTTGGGTAACCATGACATGCTGCTAGGCGTCAACCATGGTTTGTGGAAGCCCTAAACGTGTGTAATCACTAAAGGGAGAATTGAAAATAGTTTCAATTCACAATCGATGTAAAATGGTTTTAATCGCCCACTACCTCGCTAAAAGGAACCTAAAGGATCGCACACCGTGTAAGGTGGAGATTGGAGATTAAACGGAGATGAGTAAGAATGATTAAATGGTTTAATCATTTATTTATGGCAAGGATTAATTAATATGTTAATTAATCAAACGAAAAAGTTCGTTAAAGACTTCGGGATAGTTTTGGACCTTAAGGCCCAATGGGCTTTGAACGTCAAGCCCATTAACTTAAGTTGTATGACAATTTAATGAATAAAGATTCATTAAAGCCCAAAAGCCCAAACATCCCTAAATGGCCAGCCATGATGAAATGAATTAGGGTTTTGGTTGTTTAGGTCACTTAAAGAAGTGACTATATAAATGACTTTATAACTAAAATTCATTAAGGAAATATTAAGGGTTTATTTTGGGGGAAAATTGGTGAGAATTGTCTCTCTATTTTCTCTCTAAATACGCCAACACCTTGGAGGGTACATCTAGCAATCCTACTACTCCAAGGTCACTCATTTCTTCTACAATCGAACCTTGGTGTCGAGAATTAGAGGTTCTCAATTTTGGGAACTTGGAGAACCTATTCTTCCATCCAAATCCATGGATCTAAGAAGCAAGGAATGAAGGCCCCTATCTCTTTGGGTGATTAGCCTTTGCTTATGCAAAGAGGAATCTACAAAGGTAAATTTATCAACTCACTTTGTTTTTGAGTTGATTATTGGTTCACCAATCTACTAGGCTTTGAATTTCATGGTCATGTTTTGTTTTTGAGTACATACAAGCATGATTCCGCCTTTAATTGTTAAATTGCATGCTATATGATGTTGCTCAAATGAACATGTTTTTCAAAATAATTCCTTCAAGTGGTATCAGAGCCTAGGTCTAGTAGTTGGTGAATCCTTTTGTGTTTTGTAGTTCATAAGTTTGTGATCTAAAAGTTGTAATTGTTACAAGCTTTATTCTTGCTTCTTTGAAAGTAAATTTTGTTGGAAAATTTGCTATCTCAAATGTTGTAGATGTTGTTCATATGAGCATGAATATTGGAGCTAAAATTTGGTGCCATGCTTTTGGGAAAATTCGGCCAAAATCAAAGGGTGAATTTTTGGGTTCTTGTTTGACTTGTTAAAAGTGTTTTAATGTGTTCTTTGGAACCCCTAAGTACCCTAGTTTGGTTAGATGTTATTTCCCTTAAGTAAGAATGGTTTTGGAATGTTTTTGGGTGAAAAAGGTTCATGGAAAAATTTGGGTTTTTCATGGATGTTCTTCATTGTTCTTGATGTTCTTGCCAAGAACAAAAAGGTTTGGTGTTTTGATTCAAAGTTTTGATTTATTTCATAAAGTATATGTGATATGTTTTTAAATGTTTTATCATGTATTTAAAGTATTAGATATTTGTATAAATGATGATTGAAATAATTGTGATTGAATTATTTCATAAACATATCCTTTCACATACACTTGCATGCTTTTGACAAAACTCACAAATCAACACACACACCAATGTTATCTTCCCCTAAAACAGGCCACTCCCTCAAAGGGAGTACTTTTGGGGCTTTTATGCAATTACATAAAGTTTTGATACTTTTGTGTATTTGCACTTTGGCCCAAAAGTTTACGTTTTTACGTTTAGGTCCAAAAACGCTAAAGGACAAATTGTTTTGTTCCTTTAATGAAGTTTTTGCATTATTAAAAGTTTGGGTTCTAGTTGTATTTACATGAAGTAGTGACTTTTGTGTATTATACAAAGTGACCCCAAAAGTTTTTGTATTTGCAATATGGCCCAAAAGTTGAGGTTAATTGCAAGATGGCCCAAATAGGATGAGAACAAAATTGTTTTGTCTCTTTAAATGAGAATTGGATTTTCATTTTGTTTAGCTCCATTTAAATCAATCTTATGGATACAAAAACCAAATGAAAATGTTGCATTCATTTAATTAGTTAAAGTGTTAATTAATTAAAGGGTGATTATGAACCTAAGCCTAATATAATTGAGCTATGTGAAAGGCGTTTCAAATTTGTTTGAACCATGGGAATGTGTAGATTAGATTTTGGTTGTAATTTGATTTGATCAAATGTTGTAAAAGGGCTTAAGCTCTTCTTTACTTTAAAGTAATTTGTATTATGCAAATGTTGTAATGAGCATAAGCTCACCTTTACTTTGAAGTACTTCTTTCTTGCTTTATTTGATATGCATGAAAATGAAGTAGTTGGGTTCAACGCCCCTAAGACAACAACACGCCTTAATGTGATTAAACGCGTAACTAAAATCAATCTTCATTCCTAGACCGAGATTCAACACAAGGCTCGTGTTGAATCTAAACAAAGGTTCATAATCATCCTTAGGCCCTAAGGCAACTATATATAGTCCATCAAATGAATGCAAAGTTTATGTTAGTAGTATCATATACTCTTGCTTAAAAATCGTTTTAAAAGCATAGTGGGAGTATTATGTACAACTAAAACAATGAGATGGACCAATAGTTGTAATAGGACCAAAATTGTTTTAATAGAGATTAAAATGTATGTTTATATGTGGTGAGACCTAAAACCCTCAACCAAACCAATATTAAGTTGATAAGCGGAGAGTGCTTTGAACACTCTTTCGTGGCCTTCCACCGTGGTAGGCTCCGATCGTTTGTGACTCGTACACCGGCTTCACCCTATAATGGGGGAGTACAAAGTGCGTGCTTACACTCAGGAGGAGTTCTATATACATACATGATGAAGTGAGGTAGGCAACGAGTTTAGCCAACATGATATAATTCTGAGGCTATGCTTGAACCCTACACGAACTAGGCATGGTGGGAATGACTTAACTAAGTGCAATGACGCCAACATGATATAATTCTGAGGCATCACTCTCTAGAGGCCAAATAAGATGGGTACTTGCATTAGTTGCAAATGAGTAAGCGTACTCTCTCATTATTATTAATGCTAGCCAACATGATATAATTCTGAGGTGGGCTTGGTAATAGTGAGCCTCCCATAACCTACTAGGAGTTTCATCCAAAACTCTCGAATTCCAATGAGGGATATGGAATTTGCCAAAAATAGTGGGTGATGCTATTTGATTTAAAGACCCGAATCAAATGGCATAAAATCAATCAATTTATATTCGTTATGTATTTTGTTTACCAATATATTTGCAAACGCTATCCAACACTTGACAAATAAAAGCCGAACGTTTAGTTTACGGACTTGGTACTACAAAACCATAGATTGTCTTTAATGGCTTGTAAAAGTACCAAAGTAGTCTCATCCTCACAATCTTCCTATTGATAATGTATCATTAGAAGAATATGTTAGAAAAGGTCTATCATAAAGAGGACAACACTTTTAATGTCATAATTCTTCAATTACAAATTGTTGTATGAAGAAATAGGAGTTGCTTTGAACAACCCTTAGTCAATGCAAACACTTAGTGCTTGTTTCTTTGTTACATGAACAAGGAAATTGAGAAGAAAGCACAAAGGCATGGACACTTTATGTGCCATGATTCTTCACTTACAATTTGTTGTGTGAAGAAATAAGAGTTGCCTTGTACAACTCTTTAAAGTTTGTAATTATGTTTAGAACATAATGGTTGGTTGACAAAAATAGTCCATCAACATGGACTTATGATGATTTTGAATCATTGAGTGTTGAAGTGATAAACCACTTAACGAGACGGAAACTAGGCAAGGACTTCACCTTTGTTTCCCTATCCTAATCATTCACTAAGTTTATTGTAAACTATATAGTGAAAAATAACCACATACTCTCCAAAATTGTTTGATGTGTATAACACAATTGAAAAAGGTTTCAAGAGAGATAGTGGGAGTTTA